CACATGCCGTACAGCTCGGTTTACATTGGTTAGTTTTTAAGGCCACATCAATGTTTACACCCTCTCTAAAAAAAATCATGATATGCCTCATTTCAAATCAGTGCCAAAGTGTACTGAAAGGTTACAGCTATTTTATTTGTCTTTTTTCTTGTATCTGAATATGGGCTATACATACTCTCTAAGGAGTATTGTAATCTGGAAATAGGAAAGTTCTTTCTTATCTTGTATGGAAACATTTGCAGGACTAGAATTGAACTAAAATAGAAACGATTGTGCTAATTTAAAACAACTTTGCAAATATCTGATTGGATATATCAGGCTTCTTCTATTTCCATTTGCACTTCATTTTATATCTGTGATTTTCAAATTGAATTACATATTATTCTCAGTGAGAGGTCAGAATGTAAAAAGAAATTGCATTTGTTCCTGTGAAAGGGAAAAGGTGCACATGCCACTGTACAGATCTCCCCAGAAATAACATTTTTAAGGCAATTTTTCAAAAATGTCCTTCCTCGGGTTGAATGCTGGCAGACCCTTGGTTATGTTCAATTTCCGTGCAAAAAATGATTTTAACAGAACTTTTGATTTCAATAAACAGGTCAGAAAGCAAAGAGACAAAAAAAAGATGGGATGTAACAGGCTGACAAGCAGAGCGACCAGAAAGTGCCACATCTGCACAATAGTAGAGATACTGCAAATGCTACGATACATATTGTCTTGTATTGTCTCTGGAGCATTTTTAAAAAAGAATAAAGTCTATCTTTTAAACAATTATTTCCCTGAGAGTCTCCAAATGCACTAATGTTTTTCTTTTAATTTTATGTTGTTTTATTTTATTTTAAAAAGACTTATATTTTCACGTATCACTTTTATACCTTTGCCGCTAACTTCTGTTCTCTGCAAAAGGATTCAGTAAATGTCGAATTACATTTGTGTTACAAATTGGCAAAAAATTATTGATTGGTTTAAAAGCTGATTTTACTTTAGAATTTTTTGAATTTTGAACACTTACTGTATAGTCTAAACTGAAATGTGTTTCCTGGAACCAAATCAGATATTAAAGTGCACGCTGTAGGTGCACATTCAAATACTAGTTTTGTAAAATTATTTTAAAAGTTCCACAGAATTTGTGCAAATTGTCGGTGATAAAGTATCAAAGGCAGTAGGCTTGAATATTATTCCACCTGACTTATATTTGCTTACACGTCCCACACAGAGTGCAATATAGTTAATATACAATATATACGTATATGAATACACTTTCTTATTCTGCACCTTGTAATTTCTTGGGCATGCATCATCTTTTCTAGTTTGAAATAATATGATTATTAACAGAAATTGTTTCTGCAGATGTCAAATAAGAACCGCAGAAATTGATTGAACTGCTTTACACATACATAAGCTCACACAAGAGTCTTAGCTTTGGTAAGTAAATCACTACCAAAAATAGTATCTTTGTTTGTTTCAGTTTTTAATATCACATTTTAACTCAGGAAGATTTTTGCCAGTTGTTACAGTGTGAAAGAAGTATGTGAGGCAACCTTCAACAAGTCCTTTTCAGGACAGAAGAAGCCATTTGTGAAGACATTAGAACAGAATAATTGAATAGGTGATTCAGGTGATTTAGCTTTCAAATTCAAATCAAAATGATCAAAGTAATTTCCACAAGCAGTTACAACCTCTGCTCTCTGGTTAGCGTGTACATTGCTCCCTCTACTGGTAAATAGGCATTGTCATGTTGGAGGAAACTGTTGCTTTCTTTCTCCACATTTAAAGTAGAGTTCTGTGTGAGAAAAGACTGTCAAAGGTAAATTTTTTTGAACGCTGGCATTTATAATAAGTTAAATGAAGGTTTGTTTTTCCCCACAGTGCTGATGTGCAATCATTCATTCATGATTCAGTATATCAGAGACAAACTGAAAATGTATGTTTTGATGATAAAGTCAGACAATTTTTTAATTTAATATTCATAATTTACGCTGCTGTTTCTTTTTTTGAGGATACTAGTTCTCTATCGGATAATTCAAAACCTTGCTTTCTGAATATCAAACCATATAACAGCACAGTCCGGGCAGGTTTTGGCGCTTTTTGGTGTTCCTCCTCATAATCTGCTGAGGTGAGTTAGCGTTTCATGGGCTGACGAACCTGAGATTGAGCCTGAAATCACCATTCTCAGGTTGGACAGTCCTAGAAAGAACCACTCATGAGTTAAAGCAGGGTTTTGTATGCTTTTCAGGCTGATCCATAAGCCTCAGTACACTGTGTCCATGTTGAGCGCGACTCCTACAAAAAAAAAAAAAAAAAAATACAATTTCTCTGTTTTATGATATTTTACGATCTGGTCCAGATGTGTTTATACATCTGCAAATGTGCACCTTCTGGGTGTTCTGCTGGTGGGTGTTACTGCTTTAATAACATCTGCAGATGCACAAAGGTCCACTTTAAGGCCACGTGGAAGAGAGATACTATAATAAGATAATAATGTTGGTCACTAACATTGCTAATCACCTTCTTCCGAAAGCTGTATTTTTAAAAACGTATCACCCTAAATGTAATAAAAGTATCTGCTCAAATAAGCTATACTATAAGTTTTTGATATCTGTGACCAAAAATGACTGTTTTGTTGTTGCTGTGTTGTAAAGTTATTAAACAAATAAAAGTGTAGATTAAAATAAAAGTATAACTTAAAATAATCCATCAAATAATGTAGTCACTGACGTCCTGATTTTGGCGCCAGAAACAACATTTAAAATAAAAGTGAGAAAATGCAATTTTTTCTATTTTTAAAGGCCACTGATTAAAGGAACAACAGTGATTTTCATTCATTCTGGCTATGGAATTTCACTTCCTCTTGTGAAAAAAAAATCTCAATAGATCATTATGTTTATAGGAGGATAAAGATAGTGCTCCTAATGTAAAATATCATATCTCATTTCAGTAAAATTGAGGTTTTAATCTAATGACATACTATAATAGCCACAATTAAATGCATTTCGACAACAGATCTGGATCATATTTGTGCACATTTTCTCATTCAGAAAACTCAGAGCACAATGTAAGAAGGTTAACACCATGCCTGACTCTCTGTTGTTAGCTAACCTGCGCTGAAACTACTCAGAGAGCAATTAAACACTCCAGCCAACGGAGCCTAATGCACAAACTGCATCTCATACTAAACACATCTAAATTACCCTGGCCTGACTTTATGAGGGCAGCACAGTCTCTTAGAAATGTTACTGTCGTGATAAACTATTCAGATGGAGAACACAGGAGAACACACACACACACACACACACACACACACACACACACACACACACACACACACACACACACACAAGCGAGAAAGAGAGAGTAAAAGGAGAAGGAGGAAAAGGAAAGACAATACTTTTCCTCCTCCTGTCCTCTTCAACAGACTAATCCAAACCCTCTTCACATGATTCAGAAATACTTCACTGTCTGAATAATTCATCCTCCAAATATCTGCATTAAGCCAGTGTATTGTGTTGGCCTACTCACACCATCACTTCACATTTACAATCCAGGCACTCACAGCCAGATAAACACATTAACCCAACAAATAACAACAATAAATATATAGAAATGATCCATGTTTCCTCCCTTGCATCTCGCAACACTCATTTCAATAATGGAGGATTGTGGCAAGTTTGTGAAAGTCTCCTTCTCCCTAAGAGCTATCAAAGTCTCCTCTGCGTACTTCTTACCCACATGGCAGACCCCTCTGGCTCCTCAGGCCCAGTCGAAGCAAACAGGGGAAACAATCTTCATCATGTTAAAAGTCATGACCCAAAAGAAGGCACACAGGAAGAGAGCAGAGCAACCTGGAGCAAAGCTAGTGACATGAGGATGAAAAAGAAACACAGGTCGCTGAGTTAAAAAAGGCCACTCCTGCTGTCTTTACTAAGCTGTGACCTCATCATGCTCTGTACTACCAATGGGGATTCAACTCTCTCTCTCTCTCTCTCTCTCTCTCTCTCTCTCTCTCTCTCTCTCTCTCTCTGTCTCAAACACACACACGCACACACAGAATACATCACCTTCCTGTTTGTCAGTGCTGGTGGTAAACTTTCCACTGACATCTCCATGTGCCAATCTGAAGTTTTCATGCATATTGTCACAAACCATTTTAATAATATATGAATAATAATCATATATAATAACATGTATATTTCATGCATAATTGCATCATGCAGTGGAACTCATTTGTGTGTGCGTTTGTGCTTGCATGTGTGAGTGTGTGCATGTGAGTGTGTGTGTGTGTGTGTGTGTGTGTGTGTGTGTGTGTGTGTGTGTGTGTGTGTGTAGCGGGAATAATACAAAATACTGAGACTTAGTTATTGCAAATTTAAGTCAATTTAACAAATTAAATTAACTCATTATAACATTTAAATCAAAAGACAGAGAGACAGATTCAAAATGTTGCAGAAAAAGAAAATCTTTGACAGCTGCATATGTAACACTTGACAGACTCAAGAAGTACAAGAATAAAAATACTGCTGCTGAGCTTCCTGGTATTCTTAGCTCTTTCACGTCTTTTGCCTGTCCTTCTCACACCTCCTTCCTCAGAAAAAAAGAAGCCTCTTGTGGGTCAATATCTGCCTAATAGGCTGCCAGTTTGTAATTGTCCATCAGCCTCATCAAATGAGTGTCAATCATACTTTACCATAGCCAGCGACTTGACAGCTGTCAGAGTAATAATTATGGAAAGTGATGGAAGATATCATGGTTCCTTTCCATGAGAAGAGGACAACCACAATATCCTTCCTGTTCATTTTCAAAGTGCAGATATTTTCTTTCTCTACTTGAAATGTTTGATTAGAAATTACACAGGTAACCTAAAGAGAAGTTGACTTTATGTGTTTGTGTTTAGTAACCCCACCTAAAGAATATTTTCAGTTGTGACTAAGATATAACCTCTTTGTGAGCTTGCTGAGTATTAGATAACACATTTCACACTTGTAATAAATGAATGTGAGCAATTTAAAGGCTCTATTGCACTTTTATTAAATATATATATAAAAAAACATGCAGCAGAGGTAAACACAAAACAGCACGCAGTCAAACACTGAGGCTGAAAAACAATTGATGGATTTTTAGTACAGGATGACAGTACAGTTGTATTCAGCAGTACGCAAATACTGTACAGTAGCAGGTGACTGAATGGAACAGTAATGGTGAGCAAACAGTACTGACAGTACTTGTAGCTAATGTGGCTACAAGTTGCAGTTACATTTTCAACATGTCGCATTTCATGTTATTTTTTCCTTAATGTTATAGAAATGTCAAAATAAATAACTTTTAACAAATTATCCATTAAAATCAGTTTGATAATTAACCTGCGGAGAGACATCATATATATGTAACTGAAAATGTACTTTATATGCCACACTACTCTCCTTCTGATGTCTCATTGCATCCAAATAACCATATTGATTAATATTGTGGAGTGCGACCCAACATCTGGCAAACGGAAACATATTTGTACAAAGAACAAGGCAATATTAATTAGGCACCAATCATTTCAATACTGATACCAAGTAAAACGCTCAGGCACTAACAGGAGAACACCACACTTTTTTGTGCGTCCTTTTTTTGTAAGTTTTGAGTTCATATGCATCCTCAAATCAACAGCCCTTTGTTTTTTTAAAACAATCTCATCTACTGCATGAAAAACAGAGGCATAAATCAGGATGTGTGCGACTGAAATAAACATCCGTGTTTGTTAAATGCAGTTGACCCATTTTCATAGCGGCAAAAAAGATGTACGACTTGCCTGCCGACTGGTCAGGTCTATCCATATCCAAATTTGTAAATGAAGGACGTTCTGCATAAATATACACCACAAGTGCATACTTTTAGCTGTATAATGAAAAACGGTTTTCAACCCCCATTTCAACTGGTTAGGTCAGCATCCACAGTGAAGAAAAAGGGTAAACCAGAGTGCTAAAAAAAAAAAAAAAAAAAGACAGATACACCTACACATTTTCCGATTGAATGGTCCTTCAGAAAGTGCTCATGGCAATAGAAGTTGAGCAACACAAGTTCATGTTCTGATTTAACTTTTGTAAAAGTTGTGAAGAAGGTATGTGGTAAAAAATAACATTAAAAGCTTTAGACATTTTTTCTTTTACCACACGTGCCAATTCACATTCAGTTGTGTCGTCCACAGTTCATGGCTTAAGGCTAGATATATCTTTTCAATACAATATTCCTGCAAATTTCCATACAGAGATTGTCACAATTTAAACACTAAAATAAAACATGTGTACATATAAAAATATTTCAGACTTTATAACACAACTTTCCACAATAGCATTTACATAAGATTAAATAATATAATTTAAAATTTCAATAAGATGGCTGTACATAGCAATGTTTTTTTTTTTTTCCTGTTTTCAGTTTATTTTTCAGGGCACCTCGTTTGGCTCTTGAAGGTTGCACGTTACGCCCCCAAAAGAGGCAAAGAATATGTCCTCAAATTGTCCTCCGTGGGGCTGAATCACCCAACAAGTTTGTGCACTGCCGATAATTTCTTCAGTAACTGGGTTCATCCATTTCTTCGTCGCTCCAGTCAGGGGGTGCATCCGTGCCAAAGTATCGATCCCCGAAGTTTCCTACAACCAAAAAAAAACCTGTTAAACATTAAAACAGAAAAATCATATAATGCAAGACACAGCATGTCTTATAAAGACAATGTCTGGTTTTCTTTCCAATACTCACCTATGCCAGGTATGATGTGGAAGAGATCGTTGACCTTCTTGTCAACAGCTGTGGTGATGATTTTGACCTGTGGGAATGCGTAGGCCACTGAGTGGACACCCATTTCTGCCATTAGCAAAGACACCAGCAGTATCTTGTCCTCCTGAACATCATGGTCCTGAAAGTGAAAACACACACATGAAAATAGGCTACATGAGGAAAGCAATTAATTGCAGGCAACGTGGACTTGATTTGAACAATCGGGCGCACCCACCAGTAGGACCCGGACAGCCATCATGGCGGCAGCTCCAGTGGACACCGTACAGTCCATCAGAATCACATGATCTTCACTGATGTCTTTTGGTAAACGCAGATAATGAAGCTGAAAATATTCAGAGATAGGATGTGGGTTAATAAATGCAACATACATGAACAGTGCCATCCTGTAGCTGCATCATGGGTGGAATTATGCAGAAATCCCCCAACCTGAGAATTTCAAGGACAGGACGTGAAGATAAGCAAAATGTGTGATAAAACAGGAAGATGCCAAACTACGAGAAATTCACTGTGAGATAGTATTAAAGAATGTGTTAATATGTGAATAAGCCACATTAAAGGACATTAAAGGTGTTTGCAGGACAATTATAGCAAAAGGTTTTATGCAAAGTCTATAACCCATGAGCCACAATTTGTCTCTTATAAATCTTACAAGTCTGTACCTCTGGTTCTCCTGTGTCCTGGTTGGTCTGGATGAGGATCTTGCCGATGCGGACATCTTTGCAGACGGCCCTCAGAGCCGGCTCCATGGTCTCCCCGGCTCGCAGGATGGACACGCCTGTGATCTGAGGAAAAACAAAAAGAAGAGAAAAAAATTAAACAGAGGTTAATTGCATCAGTTTAGGCAGAGACTAAAACTCTTCTGAATGGTCTTTAAAATAATAATAATAATTAAAAAAAAGAGTTGAGAAGATGGCAGGATGTAAATGGAGTTCACTCACCCTCTTCCCGTGGAAAGTCTTGCCTTCGTAATCCTCTCCCTGTGGGGTCTGGACTATGTGGACCTGAGATAATATTAAAAATAATAACAGTGTGAGTACAATGCTGAGTGCTATTAGTGTGCTACAGAAGTCAGGAAAATAGTTTGTGACCAACTACAGTGATTTTCAAACTCTCAGCCATGTGTGTGTTTCTGTATCTTATGGTTAACATATGGAAACTTTCCATTGTGGTGACTTGATAAGTTTCCATGCTCTTGCTGTAAGCCTCTAGGCGTACGTCTACTTGATTCTCTGTTTAGCAAACACAAGCTCTTACTCTTTTTCCATTAATCTTTACCTTTTAATACTCATACGCATTTTAAGGCCACATAATGTGTCTCACTCTGTTGCTGACTTGTCACTTTCTGTCTACCCATTGGTTATCTCATGCTTTCTCTCTCCTACACTTCTCCATCTACGCCTAGGTATCTAATGGGTCAGAGTCAATGTCCTACTTAATACAAAGGATTACAGAACCTTGATGCAGTGCTATGGATTAATTAACAGTGTATGTCAGTGTTTGGCACCTGTGAGGGGAGGAAGGAGAGTGCTCGCTCAATCAACAGACGCATCAACCTCTTCGAGTAGAAGATGAACTCGTCTCGGCTGGTTTCCTTGTTTCTAAACGTGGTGATTAGGAAAAGAGTGATACAGGATTTATAATGGTGGTAGCTGCTGTACACTGCACATGTTTTTTATGGAAACATTGTTAACGTAACAAATCAACTTTCTCAGCTTTTACCTGATGATGGTGTGCATGCCCCTGACCTGGGGTGTGCTCTCCAGAACGCTGAGGGTCTGGGGGAGGGGTTGGGCCTGGTGTGCAGAAGCCAGGGCTGCCCTGTAACCACGGCAACAAATAGTAGAGCGGGGGTGGTGCGGGGTGAGAGGAGTGGAAAAAGGAAAGATGGACAGACACATGAATACTACACACCACACAAGTGCAATTAACACTTCTCTGCACGCATGTGTATAATACGTACTGTGTGCACATTCAGAAAACAAACACACACACGCGCACACAGACGTGTAAGTACATGCAAAAAACCAAATACATCACAAACAATTTTTAAGCAGTATTTAGAGCAAAGTTGATAATGGTAGTGTGTAACCACTGTAATGGGATTACTTGGGAAAAGTCAGATGCACAAAATTGCTAAGCACATAATGCCAGTGTTGAGTACTTCAGTGGAAAATTACAGCAGCACAGAGACCGTGATGATGGAAAACAAGTTAGACAGTTTATTGCAAAGGTCAAGAATGAAAACTGATCTGTTTAAAAATTAACATAAAATATACTGATTTGAAATAAAATTTCACTGTGTCATATAAATAAATGCATGACAGGTTTTTTTTTACAATAGGTCTCTACTACTTGTAATAATTCCCTAGGACTCCACACATTTATATTAGGTTTGAATATCCAGTTAGCCTAGGTCTACCCCAGGCTCTAAAGAGGAACACACACACACTGTTACAAATACTCAGTGATGCAGTCATGTTGATACTACAGTATCTGTACACTGAGATAAACATTAGCCAGATGCAAAGAAAAAGAGAAAATCATAGCAAATCTGCTCACATATCCCAGCGAAGTTTCCTCTATGGGGAGATTTTTTTTGACGAAACAACAACAATCACAACGGAGGGGGGACACAGATAGACGAAAAACAACAGATAAGAGGAGGAAAAAAAATGAGAAGAGACACATCAGGTGGATGAAGGGATTATCAGACACAGTCAAAAGTGTGACAGCTGAGAGTTGAAAATGTCAAATGTGTTGGAAATGCGCTTAGCGCTGAGGTAAACTGCCATTATAAGTAATATAATATTTCCTGGTTATCAATTGGTGTATGTATTATGATTCTGGGAAGGAATGAAGAAACAGGCCGTGCTTTAAAAGATCTTTCATATATGCTGCTCTTGCTGCAATTTCGAACAGATTTTGATATCTATACACGTGCATCCATTGTGTTTTTGCGTGGGAGGTGCACATCGTGTGGCTGTCACTCTTTCACTGTGTAGAACAGTAGAGGTTGGTATTTCAGCTCACAGGCCCCAGCACATCCTGTGTCTAAAGACAGACACCGAGCTCACTTCCTCTCGCTCTCTGTCTCAGATACTGTGGCCGACATTCAATGGAAAAACTCAGCGCTTTGTAGTAGGGCATTGGAAACTTTCTCTGTGGCTGAGGTATATGATAGTCAACAATAGCTGTAGAAAGAGCTTCCTCTCTCTCGCTTTCTGTTGTAGTCACTCTCTCTCTTATTCGTGTTGCCGCTGAAAGGAGGGGTCAGTGACTTGACTCAGTGGTGTATTTTTAGACACAGAAGGCAGGAAGAGTGTGAGTTGTCATTTCTCTAGAAGGTAGAGAAAAGGAAAACCAACGTCTTTACATTAAATGCTGGCTGCACCACACCACATCCAAACTTTTGATCTTAGTTGGACTTAGTTAAAAGCGGCTTTCATGCAGTTTTTAGATTTAGATTTCTTTACACCAGTAAGTCTTTGGCACAGTCTCATACTCTTATGACTGATCAATAAATAGGTATATTTGCTCTACATATACAACAGTGCCGCCTGGTGATGTGCCATGGCAGCCAGCAGATCAGTGGAAGGTAAAGGTTGGTTTTGCTGGCCTCTTTTCCTCTCTCTCCCAGTAAGACGCTGGAGCAGTTGGGGAACTGGACAGATGGTAAGGAGAGAATGATAGACAGGATAAAGGCCACTCTACCTGACGCTGAGCTCGCGCTGTGAGCCATGGAGGGATTTGGGGTGGAAGGGAAGTGGGGGAGAGAGAGTGAGAGAGCAGTCCATCAGCAGCGTGTGTGTTAATGTGTGTGTGTGTATAGTGGGGAGAGAACAAAGCAAACTGAATTGTGGCACAAAGTGCTACCCACTAGCAAAAATGTGCCTTTGGTGACAGTTAGTGCATGTTGCACAACAAATGAAAACAGCACACTCTGCTGTGTGTCAGAATGAACCATGGAGACAGGATTTCTATTAGCGCCGTGCAATCAATGCCACATAATTACGTATCAGGATTTAATTGCTCCACAGCAATAAATGTAATGTAATATTTTTTTTATTCACCTCAAAACTCAAACCTATAAATCTAAAACAATATATCTTGAAATGAGTTTGATATGGATGAATATCGATCCAGGGGTTAACACTGTGACAACAGTGTTTAAATAAAGGATCAAATTGGAGCTGCAAATGAGCTCTTCATTACAAGAGGTATACACCTTCTCTGCCCTGAATGTGTACTGTATTTATACACACATGAAAAACTTGCAGGTAATCTTAAAATAAGAAGATTTTATATAAACGATTATAACTACAGATTTATATCTTTCTTCGTCTTTTCTTTGTTTTTGTCCAAAAAGTGAAAATACAAGGCTTTGGCTCGGGATTCATCCTACTCAAATAAAAAAGTACTAATTTGCATTTGCAATTTTAAACCACAATGAGACACATAAAGCAATAAGCACTAAATAAATAAAAACAATAATTAAGTATCAATTAATAATAATAATAATAATAATAATAATAATAATAAAATAATAATACTTTGTAAAATAATATATTTCTATCTGCATGTTCTGTTCAAAGTTACCGAACAAGCCTGGAGTACCGATGCACATTCACCCTCCCCTAAAATCTGTGCAGTGTATTTTCTATCCACTAGAGGGAGTAATGGAGCTTGTGATAGAAAAGTGATAAAAAAGTGCAGATCATCCCTACAGTACACTAAATATCCTTTCAGCTCTAACAGTAAAATGTACTGAGTCAGAATAATGCCCTTATCTGCTTCAATAATGACACATTATATGTGTGCGAGTCTGAGAGCATGTATGTGTGAATGTAGGTCTGTACGTGTGACCTCTCTTACCTCCTCCAGTTGACTGTGGACATGCTGCACGATCAAGTCAATGGCTACCATGTTACCACCACCTGACGGGACATCAAACCAAAAAACGGTGGCACGGTGTTAATTTATGATCATGTCAGTTTGAAAACATACAGTGCCTTATTTAGTTTCACAGCATTTAAATGAAAGACGATGTGACAAAATTCCAACCACAACAAATTTGAATAAAGTTACTGTACTGGTGCATTGTCCATTGACTTTATTTGTTTTTTTTTTTCTACTATGACAGTAGTTGTTGTGTCAATTTGAACCTATATATAAGTAAAGTGTGTGTGGAGTAAGCACGCACCACGGGGCACCACAATATCAGCCAGGCGCATAGTGGGTTCAATGTACTGCTCAAACGCCGGCTTGACAAACTTGTTGTACTGTTTGATGACACCCTCAATGTCTCTTCCCCTGTCTGTAATATCCCTCCTCAACCGACGAACCAGCCGGATGTCAGAGTCGGTGTCCACAAAAATCTTCATGTCCAGCAACTGCCAGAGAACATAAAATGGAGAGAAAATGTTAAGTTGAACAAGACAACATAAAAAAAAAATGGCAAGCTAAATATAACTTCTTGATTCTATGTTTAGCCTATTCGTGGTGTTTTAGGATCAAACTCTTTCTATTATGTGAAATTATATCAAATTATGTCCTTTGTTTTGAAATTGAAGTTTCCCTTGCTTGAAATTCATACTTCTTTTTTCTTGACAACCAGTGTAAAATACCCAAAAAAGAAAAATTTGCATTTTGTGTTTTTCAACTCATAATTATTGAAAACACTGTTTTTCTCCAACAGTGATAATTACCTCTGATATCAACAGCACCTGAAAACATTTACTTTGTTTTATTGTCTGCGTATTAAACTACCTGTCATGGATGAATCCATTAAATAAGTGACATTTTACAATTGAAAAACAAAACTGTTCTCTGCTGGATAAAGTCTTTGATGCAGACTATGTTTCTAAATCACTTCAAATGTATCTTTGGCATTTCTGTGCTGACATTTCTTGCCACTTATCAGACGACATACATGCAGTTATCGGTATATGCAGTTTTGAATTTATATACTTTTGAATTTGTTAACATTTTAATTGCAGATTGTACATTTAAAACACTTGATTAGCTAGTTTTTTCATAGACAACACTGCTTGGTGTAAGTGAATAAAATTGAAAAAAAAAAAGCACCCCACCCACATATGCACAGGAAAACATTCTTGACCACATGCGCAGATAAAAATAAAGCCCAAAACACAGCAGTACCACTGACCGTCTGAAAATATTAGAGAACAACTTTGCCCTACCTGCAAAAGCTTTTTATCTGTGAACGCCATGATTCCCTCAAAGATGATAACACTGGCTCCATATACAGTTTTCTGTAGGGGACACAAATGCATGTAGTATTACAGTACAATGTACATACAAAGTACATGGCCAGCCAGCCAGCCAGCCAGCCAGCCAGCCAGCCAGCCAGCCAGCCAGCCAGCCAGCCAGCCAGCCAGACAGACAGACAGATAGATAGATAGATAGATAGATAGATAGATAGATAGATAGATAGATAGATAGATAGATGGATAGAGTTTATTAATCCCTGAAGGGAAATTAGGTCATCATACCAGCCAGGTACATTTAAATACAATAAAATACAACAGTAGAATAAAATAAAATACTGAGGTAGAAAAGATAAAAAAGATAAATAAGATAAATAAGATAAATAGATAGATAAGGTATAAGGATAGATAAGTATACCACTATGTATATTGCAACAACCGGATGAATCATAATTCACAGGTACCACTGAAGAGAGAATGTCTAACTATAGTTAACAGACGTTGAAGTATAAAAATAAATAGACAGAAATCACAATAATGGTTTGTCAGTGACCATCTGGAGTAGCAGATTTGCAATGCGACTCTAAACCTCTAGCGAGGGAGATTAAAACCCTCTTAGGTAAACGAGAAACTGAGATTATATTCAGTAACTCTGACATGCTACTTATTAACTTACAAAGTGCATCACCATGTGTTTGGATGTGTGTATTGATCCTTACCCACTCCTTCTGTCTCCCATGAGTTGTAAAGTCATACACAGGGATTTTCACACTCTTGCCCTGTTTGAGTTTTCGCAGGGTGTGTGTCAGCAGATCAAAGTCAAAGGCATCAGGGTGATCAAAGTTATAGTCGTTACTGGCAGCCAGTGTCTGCTCCTCTGCGGACAGGACCTGAGGATCGCAACAATGTTGGAATTATGCTGCTTTCCATTTGTCTCGTGAACTCGGAACCCGAGTTGGAAAGTGTAAATCTAGCAGCTATCTCGCGTGATTTCACAGAGACACACCCTTTTGGTCGGAATTTCAGCCGTCCCACTCGGGGTTCCTCAGGGTACCCAGAGCTGGACGGGGGGGCACGTATGACCCGCAAAACAAAGATGGCAGCGCCCATATTAAGATGTATTTTCTTTGTATTTGTACTATGTTGGTCGTTTTAATGTCGATTTTAAATGCTCCTACACACTTGTTTACATTGCTGCTTTAGTCCGGTCACCAATTTAAGCATTGCACGGTGTTGCTGTGCGTACAATACAAGTAAAGTTTTGTTTTCGAGCTGGTTTGCTAAATAGGCTAATGTAGCTAACAATAACACTAGCCCGCCACTGCCCCTGGTGGCTCGAGAGAAACGCCACAGCACTTGTTGAAATTGAAATAGGCGAAAATGGCAAAATATTATTGAAATGTAAGACTTGCAATAACGGAATTACTTGAAATGTTAGTGTTTCTGTAGAAAAACGTATTATTATTTCACATTGAGCTTGTTTAGATGAGCCACAAACAATAACAACACAGCTGCTGCACTTCTTTCCGACTCGTAATGCCCGAAGACAACTGGAACGCTATAAGTGGTACAAGCCAGGCAATGACGTCACGTTCTCGCGGCAGAACAACTCGGGTTCTGAGTTCACGAGACAAATGGAAAGCAGCATTACTTAAGAGCACACGTGCCACAATAATGATGCTTTTCAAGCACAACAAAAAAAAAAATCTTCCTCTGTCTCTCAGTTTCTGGCTTTTGCTTAGACACACACATTGGCATAGCGAGAATAAAAGAAGACTGATGAAACAATTTTACATACATACATTCAAATAAACCAAGTACACAATATTGTTCTGGAAGATAATTTACATAAGCGTGTGCAAAACCACTTGGACACGGATCACTGCTGAAGAGCAGTTGAAGTTAGGGGACCTAAATTTAGGAGAACATCATGCGCCACTGTGACGTCTGTACCAGGTGGTGTGTGTGTGAGTGTGTGTGTGTGTGTGTGAGAGAGTGTTTGCTTGTGTGCGTTTGCCCTTAGGGTGGTTGAGCATTAAAACACAAGATCTGGTATTTGGCAGTTTCAAGACAGCAACACCCCATCCTCAAGTGAACTGATACGCAATTAATATGATAAACCTGTGTTACAGGCTTTCTTGGAACCGTGTGCAAAGTTCAACAGAAGACCAGGACATACTAATTTAAAAAGACAAAATGTTTTAGATGCCAACCTCTGGTATTGCAGTGTAGTGAAGGCTACAGCACCACTGGCCACCAGTAAATCCCTCCTACTCTGCACAGCTTGAACTGTTGCTGTCAGATTGTGACAGGATTACATAACCAGAGAGTGGGTGGAGGCCTAGAAGGGCAAGAATGATGGCTCTTACTTGACTGCTCTCCACCACTCTTTTTCTCTCCCCAATTCGCTCACTACTATGCTTCTATTTTGACCCCTCTGCCGTATAATATTGTATCCTCTCCGTCTTCCTTTCTCTCTAGTCACTCCTCTTATCCTCACTTTCCCCCTGGGATCCAAAGCCAATCCCATTTTCTCTCTTTCACTCTGTCTTCTGCACTCAGTCTCACTCTTTCCAACCATCGGGCCACTGGGGAGGTTGGCAGCCATACAAGACAAAGATGAAGTAATAATAAAAGGAAGAAGGGATTTCTTGGACTCATCTAAGATGTCTAGAGATTTTAATCTTCTAAAAGAAGTATTTGGATTTATGTAAATACATGCACAAATTTAGCAGGTGCATAGCAGCATGCAAATGGACACACACCATCAATACATAGCACACATACTGCACACACATGCACACCTTGTAAAAAGAGTCCATTGAGAGTAGAACAACCCATGGAACATCTAGAGCTTCAATTATTTTCCTGGCTACGGTCGTCTTTCCTGAAGCGCTGCCACCACACAGACCTGTGATAGAATATTGACATAAAAACAATGGTTGTAGACGTTTAATTGCACAAGTGTTATTCTAAAATACCTTTGCTTGGTGGGAACATACTAGTGCTAGCTTGGCAGTACATCCTGTATGCTGTGGTTGCTTTAGGCTATAATTTGGATATAGGGAGGCAGGTAGAAACAGAGACCAGTCCTTTCTTCAAGGTAAACATCTCCATTAACAGGTGGTAAGGTATTTTCAGAAATTCTGATCCTCTTGCACAAAACACACTATGTACAACACTTCTCTGTAGCAAAGCAGAGCCACCTCTCTGTTAAAATGTCAATAATGACAGTGAATGAGCTTGTCAATACCCATTAGCAGGAAACACGGTAATCGCTTTTTTCTGTAAAAGACACTTCTTATGTGTTTGTACAGAATATTATTCTTGTGTCCAAAAGACCTATATGATCAAAAGTGAAATAGTTAGTTACATATTCTTTTAGATTTAGACTTTAGACTCAGTTCTTGACCTAGCAGAGGTTCTTATTTTTTCCTTCAGTTTTGGCAAAAACATGTATGCACACTATTTATATACATTCTGATGTATATCATTGCAAAGTTATGGGAGAATGTACTTTAATGAAACAAACTTAAAGAAGGAAAGAAACATCAGTGTTGCTACATTGTGGGGGTGCAACTCTTTAAGTGTCCTACCAATGACGAAGGCCTCTTTAGACTGTGTTCCATGTTCGTTGTACCAGGGTGGGCGGCCAGCAGTGTAGATGGTTCGTTTGGAGGTGCGTAGGAGAGGGGGCTCAGACTTACACTGGCTGGTGGTCCTTTTCCTGGGTGAAAGACCTGTGCTTACCGAGGGGAGAAGCCGGTCCAGTGATCCCTCACCACCCCCACTGCGAAACAACAAACACACAACAGAACCCACCATCACTGCTTGTAGTAAAGGAACTTTTGTTGGTGTATATTTCCTAGAACTGGACAAATTACTGGTCTTGCACACCACTCTGTAAACATTTAAAATGAGCAATTTCTTCTTCTTTTTTTGCCCACAAATAAGCTCAGCATGGGGTATATAATAAAATGGTTGGTAACAGGGATTTTCATTTAACTAAGTAAACTGTGCAATGAGAGACAGCCCAACGCCATAGCACAACCACTGCTCATTATTGCCCTTTTGTCATGTGTTGCATTTGAATCGTGGTACAGGTGATATACAGATGTCAGTGTGGGATGTGTATCTGTTGGGTGAACCTGAACAGTGGCCCAGTTAACTCACAGTAAACAAGACTGAGCTAGTATTCTGTTCCCTCATGTCATGAGTTAATGTTTAGTTTTTACATCTTTAACAGGTGAGCTTTGTCTCTGTTAGATCTTGTACAAAATAACTGCTGCAGGTACCAAAGTTCAATATACAGTAACTAGGACGAAACATGTTGACTCAACAACGTTACTATGTTGTGCAACTAAATCATGTGTACATAAAATATGCCGAGGGTGTAACGAACAATGCAGACCATTGGAATGACATGTTATCAAAAATAACAAGATTCAAAAGTTCCTCATAAACAAATGACAAGAAGCTTTCATTCAAAGCAGGTATGAGACTCATGTTGGAACCAGGAGTGACTTTGCATAGACTATTCAAACTAACTAAACACATTGTTCAATCACATCTTCTGCACAACACAATAACAATACTGATGACGACATTCCCACTAAGGGAAATACCTAGTGCAAGTGTCTTGTATTTCAACACCATAAATTACATCTACAGACTTTGTACTTTCCGTACTGGCTTTTCAGCTTTTGTCACAGCATATGGTACTATAGCCTAGTTAGCCTACTGACTTCTCCACCCAGAGAATAAGTAGTTTTATGTTGTGACTTTACAAGAGAAAAGTGAAGAATGAGAATTAACATTCAGTTAATGGTTGGGGCTTATTACGATTCAGAGCAGAGATTAACAGATCAAAGAACTGGTCTAACCCATTGCTGAGTAACTCCTTTAGAGTCCAGCTTCCCCTGGAAAACCTGCTTCACCTCTTTTACAAAAGGTAGGCACAGGGATCTGTGGCACATTATCTATACAAAATATTATAACTACTTGAACATCATCAATGAAGCAATCGCTTTTATTTTACTAATGCCATTAATAATAAACAGCACATGAAATATCACCAAGAAACATTACCAAAAACAAATACTGCCTTAGTTGTTTTACAAACACAAGTGTCTCTAACTGACAAGTATAACCAGGCAACAGTTGCTGGCAATACTTACTTTAGTATCTGCGACATCCACACTTCACCCAGTGAGGTCTGTAAAAACCCAGATGCCATAACTATAGTAGGCTGAGAACAGTCCTAGGTATTCGTCTGCTATTCAGTCAACTATCGGCTTCCACATCTTTATATAGGCCATATATCTCCCCAGGTACAGCGTCAAGAAGTCAGAGGTGAAGCAAACAAGAGAGAGCAAAGATTTATCTTATCGTACCGGGGTCACCTGAGCTTGGATGGAGCCAGGGAGTGGGCTAAGACTGAGAGAACACATAGACCCATGCATGAGGCATAGCACACACAAACTGGGTTATCAGTTAAAACCAAACCAGGTTGCCATAAAAGATTAGCTTAGTTGACGTTGCTGAATCGTATCCTTGTTCAGTGGTTACAGTTGCAGTACTCGCCGCTCCTAATAATTACATAAACTCATCTATGAATGCAACTTTGTGAAAAGAAAAGGTTATCAAGAGGTCTCACTTTGCAGGGTAGCGCAAACTAGACAGCCTGAGACTCAGAGCACACATGAGGACCAAGTGTAGTCAATGAATATAGTAGCCATAATCAAACAACACAAAGCTTGCACTACATGTTGCTTCTTTTGCCCTCCCTATTAAACGTAAGGCTCTTGGCTTTAAAGAGGGTATTTACAAAGATATTTCCCATTATTGATAGAGATATATATGATAATAAATTGAAAAATGAAATACAATATAATCTTGTTGTTCATCTAAATGAACTGTGTTCTACTGTTATTGCATCAGACAAACTCCTCAGACACCTAAAACAAAACTTAACAAACTCCTTACGTTACCATTACAATTTGTGTTAAATCATTAATTTGTGTAACAGAATTCTGTAATGATAACATGATACGATCACATGACAACATATATAACACTGAAACTTCAGATTATCAGCACAAAAGCACTATCACAGTCACTCACACCAAATTAGCGACAGATGCAAGCTCTCCCAAAGCATGTCAACAAAAACCTAAGAGCTAGACTTCAGAGAGCTACAGACAGGAGTTGTCAACCCTGTTTATCCACACTTAATACTCTCACAGAGTGGATGAGCAAAACACGGGATAGGTGTTTAGTACACCTGAAGATACTTGAATGAAAAAAGCAAAAAGATGAATAAATAAAGTGCACTTACCTGCCATCAGATCTTAGAGTCCAACAGCCAGATATTCTAGCTCCGGAATAAGCCGGTAGAGAGTTCATAACTGGAGAAAAATATATGGGAGGTGTCCACTGTGTGTACTCCGAACGTTGTGTTTAAGACCTATTTCACAGCAACAGGTATACTTAGTATTGTATATACACTCAATCACAATAAAGAGCTTAACAGCACTGTCCACTGGTGCAACCCAGCCAGAGACAGAGAGAGAGAGGTTGGGCAATATAGAGGGGAGTCAGTTTAGATGAGAAACGAAACTTTAAACATCTGTTTAGCTTTCTATTTCTTCCATTCAGTGGAGCAATAGAGAGAGAAAGAAGGCACTGCAGCTTACTAGAGAGAGCGCACTCAATGTTAAACCACAGTGCAGCTTTTCCCTCCTCTTTCACTCGGTCTCTCCACTCCTCCCCTTGGTCGTCCGGCCAACAAATGTAAGAGGATAACCTACCCTCCAGATTATGTTCATTAGGTGATATTAATAGCATCAGGTTAGAGCCAGACCTTCCCACTCCTGGTACACACACACGCGTACATGCCAAGCTTGGGTCATCTGTCTTTGACAGTCAGTGTTGCAATATGTGGCTGGAGGTGAAAGAGGGACCAGAAGAGAGCGACAGAGACGCCGCGAAACAAACTGGGAAAAAAACAAGGAAAAACAAAAGAAAGGAATAGACAAACAGTGACGCAGTTGACTGAATTTACAATAGAGATGCTTCAGGCTGTGTTGGTAAAGTGAAGAGAGGGGAGAGAGAGAGAATACAAAAGAGGAGAAGGGCAGAGGGGAAGCAATGTGCTTTTTACCCTGCAGGGACTCTCCATGTCTCCATGTGCCTTACACCATAGTCTGGAGACGTCAGCACGACAGCAAACACAGATACACACGCACACACACACACACACACACACACACACACACACACACACACACACACACACACACACACACACACCGCAGCAATGTCCCCTCCCTAACTTCACTCACAGCGGAGAGTGGGAAATAAACAGCATGATGAAACCCAACACTACCTCTACTGCTCTGTCAGCTGACAGTCTGAGGAACAGCCCTTGGCAATGCACACACATACGACACAGAAACACACACATGCACACACTGACACTCCTCCCAGGCCACAACTTGAACAGACAAACAAATCATTATTCTCAGAGATCAACAGGAGACAGACTAATTGTTTTCCAGTTCGCGCAAAAACGAACCCAAGAACTGAGCAGGCCACGGCTTCAGAACATCGCTTAGAAAAGCTACTAGATATGATTTAAAGCAACATTTAAAAAGTTTCCAAATATTTGGAGTTTACTTTGGACTTGACAAGACCTCATTTCTGTTTACTTCCTCGTTAAAACCACAGGGGAGAGACACAAGGGAATTCTGTGTTTTTCTCTAATCTTCAGTGTAGTTGTGGGACTGTCGCTGTTGCTTTAAACTGCAGTCAGAAGACAGCTGCAAAGCAAGAAAGCAAAATCGAAACAAGAAGCCTGAACTGGTTGCTATGCCAAACATTCAGCTATCGCTCTATGGCTACAGAGATGCACTGAAGGATTACAGGCCCACACTGAAGTAAAACTTACTCATACCGCATGTATGTGCGGAAAGAGAAATGTTTATCAAACACATACAATATGGGACAAATCCATGTGTTGCTTATTTAAATATTCAGAATTTAACTGTTAAAGAAAGTGAATGTCTTACATGGAAAATGTAAGCCACATTACCCAAACTGCAAATGCTTATTCTAATCTATTTTAGAAACTAGGACTGAGTTATGTAAGTAGATATACACAGGGTGGACAACATAACTCTTGTAATTAATTACCATAATAACCATGCAGCATGATAAAATCGTTGCAAAGCTTATACTGTCTTACTTCAGATGAGTGCGTCAGGGCAGTGTTGATTTTTCCATGTTGAATGTCACTTTAATGCTTGTGATACCGGTTTAGTAAGTCTGCCAAACAGGAACAAACCCTCAGTGCATGAAGCAATACAGTTACACCCCCTTGTGGTTCAGTTGGGTACCACGTTGAAGGCTGGGTTTAATGTGGGTGGTTACAGAGAGCTGACTAACTGGGTCAAAATGACATTTGCATGTGCATTCAGCTACAGTTTTAATCACCTAAAGCAAATGTCGTTACTATCTGTAGCCTGGTATTTCCCCTGAGAGGAGGACATTTGTCAGAAATGAGCACTTTCCTCATGCTGCAGTGCCAGCAAGAAACGCCATGCCATGCTTCTATCCTCAGCTAAATGAAAGCTGTGTCTTATTGCTTTATTAAGGCTAATAATTTAGCTCTAGCTAACGTGCAGCCGTTACACGTTACGTTAGTACATTTAAGTGTGTGGGTTTTTTTTTTTACATATTATATGTAATATTTTATATTTGTGTTTTCCTGGAAGATGACAATGGAGTTATGGTAGGAGGGCACCTCGTGTAAAATGACAACTGTTAAAACCAAGTGATAGAGTGGACAAAACGACGGGCTAAAAGCAGAGCAGGCCGAGTTCCCATGATGAACTTATGTAATAAACTAACAATTACACAGTAGTTTCCTGGCTGCCATTACAGCGACGTGTTACTTTTATAATAAGTAGTGACTGTACAAGGCACACAGTGTGACAGGTCGTGTTTCCGTAAAAGATGCTTAACCCAACTGCCAACTGAAAACGTTAAGAAAAGTCGCTCAAAACAAACGTTTTGTGATCCCAACGGTTTCCGAATAGCGTCCAAAATGTTACCTGCTCGATACAGAGGGAGTTTTCTCTTCGTTCTCCATCTTTGCGAGCCTTTCTTCCCTGCTAACGGCAGACATTGCTACTATGTTGACAATCAGGTGTTGAGAGCACAGTTAAGCACCGAGGCATCACGGGGCTTGAAGGCGGACCGTACTTCACCATCGGTAGGTTACGTCAGCGTCGGACCCCTAGGTGGACTTCATGCCCCAGAATGCATCTGTTCCCGTTGAAGCCAGCAGCATGTACAGTATGATAATCATAGTGGGCCTGGGTGAGGTTCAACAGGCCACGTGTAAGATTTTGGATCTGAACACAGATTTTTTTTTTTTTTTTATCATTCTAGTGCTATCTTTTTACACACATACATATTCTTTTGTTAAAATATTGGTGTGATTCCGTTATATGTCATATAATTATAAGTATCATAATTACAATTGACAATACACTTAATCAAAATAAATTATAACTAAAGTAGGACAATAAATGTAGAGACACAATGACTAATTGTTATTACAAATTGCATCTGTATGTCTGAATCATAATAAATCCTACATTAGCATGATGAAAGCCTCACACACTCCACTGGGAGAGACCCTTCTGTAGATATGAAAACTGAATTATTAATTTATATAATTACATTCTTTGTAATTGACATTGTGGCATGGAATAAGAGGAAAATCACAGGTGTTATTTAATTAATGATGGCTCCCTTCCATTTAGGTGTATGAGTGAGACAGCATGCACTAACAGGATCCCTGAAACTGGCACAAAGGAATACAGGCAATTTTTAATTTTATTAGGCACACCTGTGCTTGACAAGACAAAATTTCCACTGCGAGAAAACTCTGTTACACTCTAGTCATTACATCAATTGTAGCACGTACTGTAGATGACAGCTATCAAAAGTTATTTAAAAGTTGACACAGATGACACAAATTTAGTCAACAAACCTTTATTAATTAGTTGAGGGATACTAATGCACAGGTAATACAACAAGTTTGGGAGAAAAATTGTAACAGTTCAGACTCAAAGGAGGTGTTGATGCCTCCTATGTTAGGTTCTATACAGCTTAATTTTAGATATGGAAAACTTTAATACATCATTAGTCTCATTTCACCTGTTACCTATATATCATAACCAGTTATGAGCTACAACATCTCATCGTCTCTGAAAACTCTCAACAGTTTCTTCACAATGGCCCCGACAACAGGCGCGAATGCCATTTCCTGCTTTTGAAGTAGGTAGCATACAAAACGAACCACTGTTGTCCAAATAAAAGGATAAAACTCTCAGGCTGTCTAAGGGGATTTCTAGGGATTAACCTTGGTTTTGGAAATAACATTTCTGACAAAGGGAAGACACTTGAGCCTGCTGTTTCCCCAGGTACAAAAGTCACACCACACACAGTCAGGGTAACTAGAAAGCTCCAACAACACTCCTATTTCAAGCCTATTTCATGGTATAGTAAGTGCACTAAATACAGAAACAAACACACATACATATGCCTTGTTGTCCCATATTGAATAGGTAATCATAAAGGACTCTCTCAATGTGTTTGTCATCGTGTACTGAAAAAGCTCAATTTATGTGCATCATCAAAAATGGATAAAATAACAGTGTATGCTGACACATAGGCCTACAATGTTCTTTGTGGTCTACAAATTTTTTCAACCTTTTTGTTAGATTTCATAATATGTAAAAAGCATTTTCAAAGCAAACAAATAAAAGTAGGGGGAGTGAAAAAAAGCCATACAATTTTGAGAAGACACATCAATATCAAAATATCAGCAAGCCAACAAAACCAGCTAAATATGGTGTATTGCTGTACTCTCTAAACATGTTGCAGTTAGCTCACACTGCGGGATAGATATGTGGTTTCCACATCATAGGAAGACAGATAGTAAAGGGTGTGATAAAATATAAAATACCCACTGTTAAAAGCAGTGCCTAACTATCATATTGCAACACCAAAGCTTGTCAGGTAAACACAGTCAATGTGACGTTATTAATGAAACAAGTAACAAGCAGCTGATGAACTGATTCTGTGCCACAGCATAACACTCAACGACAAGTGTTACCATTTCTGACATCCAGTCATTACAAAGGTGCTAACTGTTTTATACACACACACACA